ACTTACTTACTTACTTACTTACTTACTTACTTACTTACTTACTTACTGCGCTCGACTATCTTCCTAATTTTCCTCTAATTACACGCTAACACCACCGATATATACATACATACATGCGCGGAAATGGTATGCGTGGAAAAACTTATGTGTGATGTAGTTACGCATAATAAATGCGCTAAATTTGTTTCGTTGCAACAATTTTTTTTTTTAATTTTCTATTTTTTAACAAAACCTAAATGATTTCCTACATCGAGACGGAAATGTTTGAGGCAACATGCAATGGTGTGCATGTAGTATACTATGTGTATATAGAGTTCAATGTGAAGCTACTTTAAACGAATTTTCTTTCAAATGATGTTCCAGCATATCGAATAATTAAAAATCACCGCGCGAGAGTAAAATTTACACAAACTAATATCACAAAACTGCGTTTTTAGTTTTTCTCTCTGACCTCAGGACTTTTTTTAAAGGACTTTGAAATTTCAACTATATGATTTATGTAAAAAATTATTTTAAAAATTTTGTACAATATGGTTAACAAATGAAAGAGAACATTCCGTAGCAATGGAAAAGATCAACTTTTTTTGATGCAGAAGGACGAATAGGTATTGAAAATGTCCTTTTAAAATTGTATCCTTGAATATTTTTGTTATTTTATGGCCTTATAACAATTATATTCAACAATTTTTATTGAGCTTGAGACCGGTTTAATGAAATAAAAATTCTTGAATATTTTTTTTTTTTTTTAAATATACGTGAAGATCCAAAATTTTTTATGTGATCACATCTTCGAATGTCGTCTTTCTAACGTCATTAATTCGATACAATATTTTTTTGTATTTCTATAAACAATTATTTTTTTAATTCTACGAAATTTTTTATTTTATTTGCTACTCCTATTGTTGTTCTATAAAGCACTGAATTTTTTAAATAATTTTTAGAAATAACCATATCTATGAAATTGCCAAAGTCCTTTTAAAAAATCTTATGTATGTACGAACATCAGAAAGAAAAACTAAAAACACGCTTTTAGTTGTGATATTTTAACCCTAGTTTCGTGCGTATATTGACTGTTTCGTGTGTTTTAAATTTTTTTCTTTTTTTACGCACATTATAATCTAAATTGAAAGGCGATAAATACATTTTTGCTCCACACCTGCTGTGCTAATTTATGTAAATATTTTTTCTTGGCATTTATCACTCTTTATCTGCTTTCATTATTACCATGCAAGTGCTTGAGAAATTCACTTACTATGTGTCTTCAGCTGGAACTGGAAATTAGGTTGACAGCATACATTTGTTGCATGCATAATGAAAATTCTATGCAATGTGCCTTTTGTACTCATCAAGATTCTGACACTGTTGTCACTGGCTCTACATACATAACAAGTACTTAATTGCGACTAAGAAGAGCGCCTGTCAGTTTTTCCACATTTGATTTAATTTTAAAAATCTTTGCACGCTTTGCCTACAACTAAACTTAAGACCATAAATGGGTCATTCAAGTTGGTGATTATCTTTTGAGTTACAGAGATAACCAGTTTTATGCTGTACTTTGTGTTAAATACATACATATGTATTTAAAATTGTTTGGGCTGGGTGTGCTATGCACTCGTAAGAGGTTTCATTTCATTTAAGTCAAGGAATTCAGCATTCTTTCTGACTAATATTTAATACGTGTAAACGTGTTATATCTTCTATTCATATGTACGTATGTAGGTATTTTCATATTGCAACATATAGCATCACTACACTGATGGTTGACCAGGACCTACCGTGCAATTTTCTACCTAAATCAAAGTGGATGCCATATTTAAATAGACACTACTCTACACTTTTTACCTGACGAAATTTAAACTATTCTCCTTGTTTTTATTTGGTACTGCAACCGTTTGTCGGTTTGGGCCGAGACCAAACATTTTCGCCAATTTATTTTCTCATTTGCGAAGTTGCGCCAGTTATTCAGACCGAGTGTAGACAGGTTCTTGTGCACTTGGTATTTCTATTGTACTCATGGGCACCCCTCATTTCGTCGTCCATCAGTAGGTGCCGAATCGAAGTATTATTTGTTTATGTCTTGTGAATAATAGATCTCTCTATTCAGTCGCCTAAAGGAGCTTATTATAAGGTCCTTATATGCAATGTTAAGAAGACTTTCATGTAGATTGAGCAATGTACACTGAGATTCCAATTTTAGGGTATGTTTACATTAGGCAAAATTCTGCTTAAGAGCTGATATATGCTCTCCACTATCTCTTCGCCACCGGTCTTGAACAGCACAGGAACCTTTTTGTTACAAAGCCGCATCATTGCCATCCTCAGCTCGTTTTGGTCGAGTGGAAGGACGTGGGCTTTGTCCCTATACGTTACTCCGAGTTCTTCTTCATGAAACCAGCCACCTTTGTCGCCGTTGATCGTTTTCTACTAGATTTCCACATTCATCTTTGCAGCCCGGTGATAATACTATTTATTTCCGCCTTATTTTCTTAAAGTATTTTCGAGCCGCATTCCTGCTGGCAGCTATTCACAATCACGCCTTTTTGAACCCCTCTTTTCTTTCTCTTGAAAATACATCTCTACTCCCTCGTTTTTTTCACGTTACCTCGTGTCGTTTCAAGCGTGTCGCCTTTGGATACAGGGTGGCTTGGTATACAGACTATTCCACAGTGGGTCCAAGCGGTAAAGAGTTGCTTAATTCAGCACGGTTGATAATAGACTGCGAATTTTCTCGGTTGTCCGTTTTGATGTTTAATTTAGCAGGTCTAAATTCACACTGATAAGGTCCAATCAGTTGGACGAGCTCGGCTTTAGCTGCCGTAACCATCGTCAATATTTTTGACTTCTCTATGGCAGACAGTCACTATAAGATAACAAATTGTTGGACAGTGTTCGCACCAGGAAAGGAACCTTGGTTGTGTCGAGTAATATTCCAACCTGCAGGCATGCTTTCGTCCGAACATGTTCGTTGTAATACATAGATGGCTGAACCTCACCACTTTCACGGCTTCTCATATTTTCATAGCTCAGTTGATGGCCCAATAGCTTGACCAGCTGTGTTATTTTTTAGCCTTCATTCGAATTTGGTAACGTAACATCCACACCGTCATCATCGGTTTGTTCGGGTATTTTATCCATTGGTCAGAATTTCAAGCAGTACTTCTTTCTTTACTTATAGTAGCGCTCCCATAAGGCTCGTATTGCATCCATTCGTGGCAAGTCAAAATTTGTCTTTCAGCGTCAGCCTGGCAGTCCTCGAAATTCAATAACTACTACTTATAACCAGTGTATATTTGTTGAGTAGTGTTCTCTATGGAGTGGAGTGGAGGAGTGGACTATTGGCGAGGTTGATGGCTGTATTTTCTGATTGCAGCACTTTCTTGGTATAGTTAGGCGGAAGTAATTTTTTAAAGCTTGCTATCGATTTTATATAGACGCGCTCTAAGTAAAAGCTCTCTTGGGTCGTCGGTTAAGTTAATAGCACATTTTTTGCTATGCAAAGGAACGTGGGTATCTTGGCTACAAAAAATCAGCGATTCGCGTCAATGTTGGGAGCTTGTCGACATTTCATAAGAAACTACCTTTTTAAAGAGGTCAAAACTTTAATGGCCTTATTCATAGAAAATAAAGTAGGTTCATAGAGCTTTATAAAGTGACATTTTCATACAAATGTTAGACTTAAATAGCAGTTAAAGTCTTTTTTATTTTATATGAATTTGGGTGTTAATCTTTTATATTTACTACCTATACAAAACTTTGTTAGAGTATAATTGCCTCACTTGTTCTACTAGCAAAACATTTTTTTTT